CCAGCTCCTCATTTCGTTGATCTGTTCTACTGTTCTTTTGGTTTCTATGTCATTGATTTCTGCTCTGATCTTTATTATTTCTCTTCTCCTGCTGGCTTTAGGCTTTATTTGGTGTTTTTTCTCTACCACCTTTAGGTGTAGGCTTAGGTTGTGTATTTGAAACCTTTCTTGTTTCTTGAGAAAGGCTTGTATTGCTATATACTTTCCTCTCAGGACTGGCTTTGCAGCATCCCAAAGATTTTGAACAGTTGTGCTTTCATTTTCATTGGTTTCCATGAATTTTTTTAATTCTTCTTTAATTTCCTGGTTGACCCATTCATTCTTTAGTAGGATGCTCTTTAGCCTCCATGTATTTGAGTTCTTTCCAACTTTCCTCTTGTGATTGATTTCTAGTTTCAAAGCATCGTGGTCTGAAAATATGCAGGGAATAATCCCAATCTTTTGGTACCGCTTGAGACCTGATTTGTGACCTAGGATGTGATCAGTTCTAGAGAATGTTCCATGGGCACTAGAGAAGAATGTGTATTCCGTTGCTTTGGGATGGAATGTTCTGAATATGTCTGTGAAGTCCATTTGGTCCAACGTGTCATTTAAAGTCTTTATTTCCTTGTTGATCTTTTGCTTAGATGATCTGTCCATTTCAGTCAGGGGGGTGTTAAAGTCCCCCACTCTTATTGTATTGTTGTCAATGTGTTTCTTTGCTTTTGTTATTAATTGCCTTATATAATTGGCTGCTCCCATGTTCGGGGCATAGATATTTACAATTGTTAGATCTTCTTGTTGGATAGACCCTTTAAGTAGGATATAGTGTCCTTCCTCATCTCTTATTACAGGCTTTGTTTTAAAATCTAATTTGTCTGATATAAGGATTGCCACCCCAGCTTTCTTTTGGTGTCCATTAGCATGGTAAATGGTTTTCCACCCCCTCCCTTTCAATCTGGGGGTGACGTTGGGTCTAAAATGAGTCTCTTGTAGACAGCATATCGATGGGTCTTGTTTTTTAATCCAATCTGATAGCTTGTGTCTTTTAATTGGGGCATTTAGTCCATTTACATTCAGGGTAACTATTGAAAGATATGAATTTAGTGCCATTGTATTGCCTGTAAGGTGACTGTTACTGTATATTGTCTGTGTTCCTTTCTGATCTATGCTGCTTTTAGGCTCTCTCTTTGCTTAGAGGACCCCTTTCAATATTTCTTGGAGGGATGGTTTTGTGTTTGCAAATTCCTTTAATTTTTGTTTATTCTGGAAGCTTTTTATCTCTCCTTCTATTTTCAATGACAGCCTAGCTGGATATAGTATTCTTGGCTGCGTATTTTCCTCATTTAGTGCTCTGAAGATATCTTGCCAGTCCTTCCTGGCCTGCCAGGTCTCTGTGGATAGGTCTGTTGCCAAGCTAATGTTTCTACCATTGTAGGTTACATATCTCTTCTCCCGAGCTGCTTTCAGGATTTTCTCTTTGTCTCTGAGACTCGTAAGTTTTCCTATTAGATGTCGGGGTGTTGACCTAGTTTTATTGATTTTGAGAGGGGTTCTCTGTGCCTCCTGGATTTTGATGCCTGTTTCCTTCCTCACTTTAGGGAATTTCTCTGCTATAATTTGCTCCAATATACCTTCTGCCCCTCTCTCTCTTTCTTCTTCTTCTGGGATCCCAATTATTTTAATGTTGTTTCATCTTATCGTATCGCTTATCTCTCGAATTCTGCCCTTGTGATCCTGTAGTTGTTTCTCTCTCTTTTTCTCAGCCTCTTTATTTTCCATCATTTGGTCTTCTATATCGCTGATTCTCTCTTATGCCTCATTTATCCTGGCAGTTAGTGCCCCCATTTTTATTGCACCTCATCAATAGCCTTTTTGATTTCTACTTGGTTAGATTTTAGTTCTTTTATTTCTCCAGAAAGGGTGTCTCTAATAACTTCCACGCTTTTTTCAAGCCCAGCTAGTATCTTTAAAGTCATGATTCTGAACTCTAGGTCCAACATCGTACTAACGTCCTTTTGAGTAGGTCCCTGGCTGACAGTACTACCTCTTGTTATTTTTGCTGAGGTGATTTTTTCATCTTGTCATTATGTCCAGAGGAGAATAGATGAATGAGAGATCAAAATGTAACAGGTTAACAACGTTCCCCGCAAATATAGTCTATACAAATCAGAAAAGACCTGAAGCCAGGGGAAAAGAAAGGGAAAGAAAGAAAAAAGGAAGAGAAAAAAAAGATAAAAAACAAAACAAAACCAGAACAATACAAAAAAAGCAGAATATGATCAAATATGATCAGGCTAGTGCATAAATCAGTGCGACACACTAGATTTTGGGCATATTTTGGTCTGTTAGAAAAAAGTGCCTTCTAAAATTTTAAAGCAAGAAAGAAATATATGTACAAAATAAGGGTTGATAAAATGAAGGGATGGAAGATGACTGTAAAGATGAAAATTATAAAAGATTTTATAAAAGGAATTGATAAGATAAGTTGTTTGAAAAAAGAAAGAAGATTTAAAAAAACAGATAAAAGGGAGAGCATATGATCAGGCAGGAGACTAGAACAAAGCCATACACTAGTGATTTAGGGTATATTTTGATCTGTTAGAAGAAACTGTATCTCAAAATTTTAAAGAGAGAACAACTTATATATACATATGGCAAAAATAAGGGTAACTACTATGAAGGGATAAAATATGACTCTAAAAATGAAACATAAAAAATGTTTTTTTTTAAAGGGATTGATAAGATGTTGGTTGAAAAAGGGAAAAAGAAAAATTAAAAAAAAACAGTTAAAAAATTAACTTTGATGAACTAATGAATCATGTTATAAAAAAGCCATGAATTCTGTATGCAGTATTCCCCTAGCGCTGGAGTTCTCCCGTTCTCCTTGATCGGTAAACTTGGTCTTGGCTTGCTGGCTGTTCGTGCTGATCTTCTGGGGGAGGGGTCTGTTGCCGTGGTTCCCAAATGTCTTTGCCGGAGGAAGAATAGCCCCGCCCTTGTCGGTCGGGGCTGAGCAAGCTGCTCGGGTTTGCTCTCAGGAGCTTTTGTTCTCTGCAAGCTCTCGGTACAGCTTTGGAGGACAACAGTGAAAATGGTGGCCTCCCAGTCTCCACCCGGAGGAGCTGAGAACTCGGGGCCCCGCTCCTCAGTGCGCCCCCAGAGAAAAGCAGTCACTCCCGTGTCCCCGGTCTCCGGCCGCTCTCCGTGCTCACCCGGCCTGTGACCGAGCGTTGCTATCTCTGGCACCCGACCCCGTGTGGAGTCTCCAAACCCAGCAGATCCCTGCGGTGCGCTCCCGCGCCGCTCCTCCCGGGGGAGGAAGGGGAGTCTCCCCGGCTCTGCCGCTTGTTGGGTCCCTGCTGGAGGAGCAGTGGCCCGACTGGGCCGCGGATCACAGTTTATGGCCACCCCGAGCTGAGAGCCCGTGCCTCGGCTCCGTCTCTGCAGCCGGCTTCCCCGCTCCGATCCCTGGGAGCTCTGCCGCACTCAGGCACCCCCGGTCTTTCTGTGACCCCGAGGGTCCTGAGACCACACTGTCCCGCGAGGGTTCCACCCCCCGCTTAGCCACTGCAGTGACGTCCCTCCGCGGAGCCGACTTCTAAAAGGTCCGATTTTGTGCTCCGCGGCTCTAGCACTTGCCAGAAGCGGCCGACGGAGGCCCCCTCCCCCGCCGTCTATCCTCCCGACTATCGCCTCGGATTCACTTCTCCGCACGTCCTACCTTCCAGTAAGTGGTCGCTTCTCTGTTCAGAGAGTTGTTGCTACTCTCCTCTTGATCTCCTGTTGAGTTCGTAGGTGTTCAGAATGGTTTGCTCCCTATTCAGCTGAATTCCTGAGACCAGACGGAATCCAGGTCTCCTGCTCCTCCGCCATCTTGCTCCGCCCCACCCCCCACATTCTTTTATTTAACGATTTATTTTGCATGGAGCACTGGGTGTTATACACAAACAATGAATCATGGAACGCTACATCAAAAACTAACGATGTACTGTGTGGTGATTAACATAACATAATAAAAAAATAAATAACTATTTATTATATTGGGTATTTTGGTAAAATAATGCTGTTTCTTGAATTCAAGAGGTTTACTCAAATCCAAGGACACTTTTATGAGCCTGAATCCCCTGATCTCTCTATAGTATTTAATACTCTTTTGGTCACCCATCCCTCCCTAAGCTTTCTCTTGTCTTGCCTATAGTTACCTCCCAGGCTAAACCCAACCTTCCTGACCCCCAGCTCAGACATCCTTCTCCTGAGCACTTAGTCCTGAGGCATCCACATGGAAACCTCAGGCATGCATGCAGTCATCCCAGAAGAGTATCGAAGAAGAGAATCATTTGTCTGATGCTGCCTGACATATCTGAACCAGCTCTATCTCTGTTGGATGAAGATGAGCATTCCCAAATGTCTCCCTGAGGCTCCACAGGGCTCTTCGGGATCGACATGGAGCAACCTAGAGGCAAGCCTCCTCTGATGTCAGCCCTGATGTGTAATAGACCTTGGAAGTCATCACTCCTGTCCTTGCAAGAAAACAGACTGAGAATCTTAGTTCCATCAAAGACTGGAGGTCGCAGAGTGAATTGCCCTCTAGAAATCTGAAGAGACAGATGAATAGAGAATGAGAGCCAAGATCAGCTCACCTGGGGAAAAAAATGAAGAATTTCAAGATGGTGAGAGCAGAGCATTGAGCCAAGAGCAGGACCCCTCCGAGTGAAGGGCACATGGAGGAAGCAGGCTCTGCCTACTGCTCAGCGAGCATTTCAGTGCTCCTTGTGTTACCAGAAATAGTAACAGCAGCCGCAGTAAGAGTACTCCTACCGCTAGGTGTAGTATTGGTACTACGAGGAATACCACTACCAGTAGGGTTAGGTTCCGTGTTAGATGTCACTACTACTACCGGTAAAATCTAATCACATCTCAAAGAGAAATCTGAAAATATGCTTAACAATCTTATTTCCCCCTTTGCCCCTATGGACACTCCCGATGCCCCTACATTGGTGAGTAATCTATTTTTTTTTTAAATATGGAAATGCTTCACGAGCTTGCATGTCGCCCTTGCAAGGGGCCATGCTAATCTTCTCTGTATCACTCCAATTGTACACATGCTGCCAAAGTTGCAGGATTGTTGAGGGAACTGGGTAAATACCTCTGAACTTTTTGTTCTCTCTGGCCCTAGCACTCTCATGGTATCTAACCCGGACACTTGCAAATTGACTTATAATCTGCTGTTCTCCTCTAGGCCAACTTGTTCTTTTTTCCTTCATGAAGTCTTCCCAGGCGGATCATTACGAAATGCAACTTCAGGGTCTCATGCTAGATGAGAGCTGTCCGAGGCCTAAAGCAGAGCCTCCTCCTCCCACACTGAGACTCCAGTCCTCTCTCGGCCTGCCTTTAGACCCATCCTCAGCGCTCCCTAATCCTCCTTTCAAAATATCTGTTCCCAAATAATACAAAACTGTTTGTAGTTCCTGATAATTATCTCACAAAAATCTGTACCTCCACAAATCTTCCTCCCCACTGAATTGTTTCATGCATTGCCCCACGTCCTTTATGACCTCATTCTTGTGTTTTTCCTTGAGAACTCTAACCCACTTTTCTCTGGGCAGAGTAAGGCATTTTCTTGTTTTTGCTGGCCATCTCATGTTCCTATCTCCCTAGATCTGTAGCTTCATTGCAGTAATGATGTGTTTTCAGATTGTCTCCCTTACCCACCCACGTACACTTCAGATGGGGTGCCCACCCACGTGTACCTCAATGACTAGAGCATATTCTAATCGCATTCTATGCAAAGTGCATAGTGAGGGCTTCCTATGACCACTTGAGGGCTGTAGGGTGAATGCATGAAGGAGTCAGTGACGAGGAGAATCAAAAGGACATATAATCACTTTCAGATTGAGAAAGCAAAAAAGTAGGAGTTCTCAAAAGTCATTAAGGAAGAAAAACATTCTTTCATAGAGATGATTTAAAAAGAAAATACTCAGGCCCTTCTCATCTGTGAAAGTTCCTTAGTCTTTCCTATCATTTCATGACATTGAACTTTTGAAGAGTGCTGGTTGGGTATTTTGTAGAATGTTTCTCTATTTGGGCTTATCGGAGTTGTGCGCCCCAACCCCCAATTCAGATGTTGAAGACCTAACTTTCACACCTTAGGATATGACTGTATTTGACACCAGAACATATGAAGAGATAATTAAGTAAAATGCAGTGTTTAGAGAGGGCCTTAATCCAATATCACTGATGTTTTTCTAAGAAGTGGAGTTCAGGACATAGACACACACCATAGGGATGCTGACATGAGAACAGAGAGAGTAGACGGCCATCTACAGCCAAGGAGAGGAGTCTCAGAAGAAACCAGCCCTGCTCACCCCTGCATCTCAGACTTCTGGCTTCCAGAAGTGAAAACATAAATGTCTGTTGTATAAGTGGTTCAGTCTACAGCATTGGTTCCAGCAGTCCTAGCAAATTAATATATTAAGTTTTTTTTTTTTTTTTTTTTTTTTTTTTTTTTACAATTAGCTTAATTATGTGGATTTGGGGGAAGAATATACAGAGGTGATGTGCCCTTCTCCTTGCAACATATTAACCTTCACCACACGGTCAGGGTGGAGACTTCCAGATTTGTCCAATGAAAAGTTACTAGTTTCCCTTTTCCATTCTCTACAGTCAAAAGCAAGTTATAATTTAGCGCACATGTAAGAGAAATAAGCTCCACCTCCCAGAAGGAGAAGTATCAGCTAACTTGAGGACATGTGCTAGAACCACAGCAATTAATAAACGTATCAGAGGAGATACTTTAGAAGATGCAAATACCCTTTTCTACTTCAAATTCCTTCCACTAATTTTTGCATTCATCAGGGAATCTTGTCTGCAGTAATTATTACTGTGATGTCTCAATGGTGACTTCATATTTCCCTCATTTTTTTGATATTTATTAATTGGGATTTCTCTTTGAGGACTATTTCTCTCTTCTCCTCTGTTTATTTATTATTGTAATCATTTAGTATATCAGAATAGATTTTTGGATATTACTTTTATTCTTGGGGTAATACTGCAATATGATGGTTATTTATCTTGCTGTTCAACTTGTTCCATCTTTGGCCATTTGGAAAACTTTTAGGTTAGCTCCTGAACCATTCAAACATTTCTCCCCTCCCCCTGCCCACGTTTTACTCTAGTCTCAGCTTCTATTTATTCTTGACTCAGCCCTAGAATCAGCAACTTTTTTTCAAGGAATCTTGATTCTTTTTATTGGAGAATGATATTTAGAAAACAAGATCTGAGTGTTAAGTGTGCTTGCTGCTATTGGGTGTCAGTGATTCCATATCTTCTCAATGTACACCATGAAACAGACACAGGTAGATGGAGAGATTATGCACACACACACACACACACACACACACACACACACACACACACACGTAATTATCTCTGCATCTCTCCATCTGTATCATATAAATATAAACCTAAACATGAGTTCACACTGAGGTCTCCAAGTACAAACCACCAAGGAGATGTAACTTTCCAATTTGGAACAATTCAGTTTTGCTTTAGCAGTTTTTCTTTGAAATAAGACATGTGCACACCTAGCATATGAGTGTAGAGCAAGCAAATTAAATTATATTTCCATTTATCCACGAGTGTGTTGGAACACTGGCTAATGCAGTTTGAGTGCTATGTACATCGAGTATAGATGGATTTATAGTTCTTGGATTCCTCAAGTAACTTGTCAATGCTGCCTTTCATTGGTGGAGAGATCACCACCCTAGCAACACCTATAAAAACCCATTTGCTCTTGATATCAACCCTAGTTAATCTGAGGGTTCCCCTCTTGTCTTTCCTTCCTGACCCCGTGTTTAGTAAATGCTAAAAGTGCATACAAATGTATGCAAATAAATCCTCTTTGGGGAGAAATCAGTTGTATGGGTCTCTGGTGCCTGACTGCCTATGGAATCCACTAACAGTCTGGTGAATGTTTTGTATTATACTGTCCTTGGAGACTGTATGCATGACTTACTTTGTATATAGTTATTCTGAGAAGAACGAGCACACTTCTCTGTTTAAGGCTAGTGGGCAGAGAGCAGAGGAGACTGTGAGGGGGCTTCTTCAGGGGGGCTGGTAGTCTGGAGTCACAGGCCTGTTTAACACGAGGTGAGTGGGACCTGGAGGTGGGGAATGCGGATTTGGTCTTCCACCTTAACTCTCCGTGTGCTGAAAGTGAGCCGTCATCCCCACTCAGAGCTTCTGCCTGCTTCCCTCTACAGTGAATGGTTTGCCACACAGGTCCCTCGGGCCTGCGGGTCTCTATAATCCCAGGGTTCGGTGGCCACCAAGGAGGGAGCGGCGTCTGCCTATGCCCCGCTCCTGGCTCAGCTCCTTCAGCTTGGCTCACACCGGGGTGATTTGACTTTTCAGTTCTGTCGTTACAAAGACTGTGCAGATGATGGATTTCGCTCGTTTGCCTGCTGTGTTGGAAAAAGAGATCCATGCGATGAGATCGTCCCTCAGTTTCCAGATTCCGCCTTATTCTGGGTACTTTAAACATTGTCGGAAACCACTTAGGGGCCTTTCACTCCAGATGCCTCCTCTGTGGGAGTAAATATTTGTCAAATGCCACCTTTCCCTCCTTTTGCCTCACAGGAACAGGGGTGCTATCAGTTTGCTGGTTCTCTTTGTGCACGTCATTCTTGTCCAATTGCTCTGTAACATCTGACATTTCTCTCCCTCCCTCTCTGTCTGTGGCTCTTTTATAAAGGATTGAGTTGTGTTTTATCCTCTATCTAATCCTTTCAAAATACTGTGTACCTTTCTAAATGATGGCAACCCCCTGACAAGGCAAGGGAGATGAGAAAGCTGGGAACCACATCAGAAGGGTCTGCTAAATCTGTTGTGACAACAGGGAAGGATGCTAGGACTTGCTTCCTTTCGGTCTGAAAGCACCTTTGTTATGTTTCTGAGGAGAGGGACAGAGGGCGGGGGGCCTGGCGGTGTTTCCTGTCCCTCTGCCTGTCAGTCTCATCAGCATTGAAGGAAAAATAAAAGATGAAGGGAAAATAGGCGCACCGTCTAAACGGAACGACATAAATGAAGGAAGCATGTGCATAGCTGTAAGTACCACCACGGCACTCTCTGCCGCACGCAGAGACCATTCGAGCCTGAGAGATGACCGGAGAGATGCCTGCAGGGAGGTAGCAAGCTCACCAAAATTGCGTTCCTGGCTTGCATCTTGGCTGGAGAGTTCTTCTCATTCTGAATGTATTTTAAAGAAAAGATGTACTCAGGGATATTTTTTTCCCTGCTTGCTTGGTAGGGTGCTCATTTGCATTAGGTTGTCAAGAGTTATGACATTTAATGCTATTAATGTCACTTCCATTATTCCACTGAATCTCAGCTGCCTTCACCTACAAAATGTAAATGTTTCTGACTACATGACCATAACTAGAGACCCCAAGGAACGGGATAAAGAAACACAGGTCTCCGTGCTGTGCGTAAGCCAACGGGCTGGCTCCTGTGACATTCACGGCCACGGATTTGGAAATATATTCACTCAGTGTCAGAAGTATGACACACTCATTCATGTGTGCACACGAGCACATGCACGCGCACACACACACAGAGTTGTTTTTGCTCTAGAAATCCAGGGTGATTCAACGAACACTCAGAGCCAACACTTTTAGAAGCAAATCGTGTCAGAACTGTAAAAAGGTAGAACTTACTTCGATTAATAGCAGGCCCAAAAGGATCAGGCATCTGAAGGGAAGGAGGGAAGATCTTGGAGGCAGCCGGACCTGTAATTTCTAGAGGTTAATGCAGTGAGAAGTATTGCATTATAAATACTAAAATGGCAAGTATATGACCCATAGAACAAAATGCATTTATTGACATGGAATAATTTGGTGATACAATAAAATCTTTAAAAAAGGATGGTTTACTCTAATTTGGGAAATACAAGTGATAACTTTTGATATTGTCATTTTTCGTATTTGAATGATCTTAATTTGCAGACAAGCCCCAAAATAAGATTCAGGTAATACTGAGTCTTTTATAGTTGTACTTAATTAGACATAAAAAAAATAATTAGACCTGAATTCAGTCTGGACCAAAAATATTTTTTACATGTAAT